AGGAGGAAGAAGGAACAAAAGGGGTGGGGGTGGAGTCTGACTGATCTGTGCCTGCACTTCAGCAAATGTTTTCTGTGCCATTAGTATCACCGAAGTCCAGGTGCAGAGAGAACCGGGTGCTCCAGGGACCTGTGGCTGAGAGCACTCTGCCCAGGTTGGTCGGCTCACCGGGGCTGGGGAGGCTGGGGTTCGCGATCCATGCACCATCCCACCACCAGCGAGAGGTCCTGGGCGCCTGTCTTTATCCAGAGAGCCCCAGAAGGAGCTCACCTGGGCGGGCTCACCAAAATGTGGCAAGCCCTAAAGAAATTCCTGGAGACCGGGAGGAGTACAGGTCTAAAGGGGGCAGGAGGTGGCGCCCCAGCCCCAACTTCTGGAAGGACCAACAGGCTGGGGAGTGCCAGATTCCCTTGGCCCGCCAAAAAAAATGTCCTCTCCTTTTATAATTCTAATTACCGTATTTTAATTTCCTTAAAAGAAAAAAAAGAAACAAAAGCATAGAATTGCACTTGTTTGGTTTCATTTTGTCTTCACAGCTTTAATGACTCCATTTGTGGAAGCTGTTTAGGAAACTGGTGAGGAGGAGGAGGCCAGGAGAAGCCAGGAGCCAGCCAAGGCCCGGGCTGCGGCTTTCTCCTCCCTACCCTGAGGGTCTTCTGCCTAGGCACCAGTTTCCCTGAGCCCAAGGATACCAACCCCCAGGTCCAGGCTATATTTGCCCTCCACCTTCACTGCAGGCCCCAGTAGGCTCCAAGCTGCCTCCTTTCCACCCAATCCCAACTCTGAGGTTCAAAAGACTGTGTAGACACCAGGCCCCAGTGGAAGTCCCCAGGACTGTCCAGTGAGGGCCACTAACCTCATTCTCAAGCCCTTGGAAAAAAGAAGGGACCCATCTCCTCCACCCCAGGCCCAAATCCTAAGCATCTCACAACCCTCTTAGCCATCTTTCTGGCTCAAAAGAGGGGGAAGAGAGACTGGTCTCATCTTGGGACACTCAGCAAGGAACAGGGTTGCTATAACCTCCAGTCCAAGAGACTCATCAACAAAGTAGTGGAAAGACATGGACTCCCAAAGCTTCACAACAGAAAGCAAAATATATTCTGTCTCCAACTATCCAAATGGGTACAGAGCTCTAAAATGCTAATGGCTGGACCTGAATGCAGGGCAGTGGGGCTTGTGATCTGTCCTAACCTTCCCCAGACAGGAGCAGTTGCTGAGAGGATGGACGCTGAGGGTCCAGGGATGGAACCACCGCGGGGAGCATGCCTGGCTTCAGGCCCTCATTGCCAGCTTGCCCTGTCCTATTCCACCTCTTCCTGGGTCATGGTTTGCCCATCCTGCTCTAAGTGCCAGTCTAACCCATCTACCAAAGCAATCTTACTGTTAGCTACCTGCCAGAGGTGGATTTCAGAATCTCAACCCCAGACTCCCAGTGGAAAGTCTCCAGGCCCAGGTGAAATAAAAAAGGTGTAGGCTCTACACTAAGGTCTGTGAGACTTGAGTTCAAGTCTTGACTTTATTAGAGTCCCAGTGTGACCCTGAGCAAGTGGGAGGAGGAGGTGACCAATGCTCAACAATTAAATAAGTGCACTGGAAAAGTGGTGAATTGTTTGTTCCTGCAGGATTTGCCGACTGGGGGAAGGGGAGAGGCAGAAGGGAAGGATTACAGGAGAAATTTCTCCCCTGCAGAGGTACTTGCACTTTAATGAGAAAACCCATTAAGACACTTGATTTTCCATTTGTTTAAGTGAGATGGGTGTTTGCTATAGTGCAGAGGGAGACAAGGACGGGCCACCACACCACACCACACCACACCACACACACACACAACAAGCACACACAGAAGAAACACCAGGAGAACTCTGATTTTAATTGCACCTTGAAAGGAACTAAGTATGAAAGTATTACCATGACACCTAGGCTCCCTCTCGACCATCCCAGCCAGAGGCCAAGGAAAGGCTCATTAAAAACTCTGGGAAGGGCTGAGGGGTGGGGTGGGAGAAGATTCCCAGGGCCAACCGGAGTCTTTGAAGTGGCTTTTCCTGGCCAGCCACTTGACGACATCTCCTAGGGGTCTGGGGTTTTATGGTTCTGGGTTTGATTTCTCTACCATCAAACTTTACGGCTTAAAAAAATTCTCAGCACTGTAAAGGGAGCTCATTCCAAATTCACTGGGGAGGGGGATGGAAAAAAGCAGGGGGTGGGAAAAAGTTTCTCCCCTGCAGAGGTACTTGCACTTTAATGAGAAAACCCATTAAGACACTTGATTTTCCATTTGTTTAAGTGAGATGGGTGTTTGCTATAGTGCAGAGGGAGACAAGGACGGGCCACCACACCACACCACACCACACCACACACAACAAGCACACACAGAAGAAACACCAGGAGAACTCTGATTTTAATTGCACCTTGAAAGGAACTAAGTATGAAAGTATTACCATGACACCTAGGCTCCCTCTCGACCATCCCAGCCAGAGGCCAAGGAAAGGCTCATTAAAAACTCTGGGAAGGGCTGAGGGGTGGGGTGGGAGAAGATTCCCAGGGCCAACCGGAGTCTTTGAAGTGGCTTTTCCTGGCCAGCCACTTGACGACATCTCCTAGGGGTCTGGGGTTTTATGGTTCTGGGTTTGATTTCTCTACCATCAAACTTTACGGCTTAAAAAAATTCTCAGCACTGTAAAGGGAGCTCATTCCAAATTCACTGGGGAGGGGGATGGAAAAAAGCAGGGGGTGGGAGAAAGGAGGGCATGGTGCTGCCACCCCCAGTCAAGAGCCCTCTTTGTTAAGGACAGCCTCCCCTGCCTTGGCTTGATATGATATGATGGGAGTGGGGAGAGGGGTCCAGTGTGGGTTGCATCAGCCTGGCTGTTGGACAAGTCTGTGATCTGTGGTCAACTGAAGGCAAGATTTGGGGAAAGACAACACTCTGGCCTTGGTTTTCCCCATCAGGGAAATGGGACTCATGAGGCACCCACTGGAAAAACCCAAAGAACATTCTGAAAGATGTTCTGTGCCTGTGGTACAAGAGAAAAAAATGTTGTGTGGGAGGAAGGGGCATGTTTGCCCTCCAGAAGGCAGGTTTTTAAGGGCCGCACATTTTTGGCAAATGCAGGGCTGCAGGCCGACCCCACCAGTTGGCCCCTCTCCAGGCCGGTGGGCAGGCAGCTCCTGCCGAGCTAAGTAATGAGCACAATTCCAGCACTGCTTCTGCTTGCTAGTGAGAAATCAAAGCCTGGTATTAGAGGCCATTTCTGGCTGGGCACCATTCGTGCCCAAATCCATCAAAGCCCTGGGCCTGGGGTAGCTTTTGGAGAAAGTGGGGGCTGGATGCTTTGTTAAGCAGGAAAGGCAGGTCACTCCCAGCCTTCCTGGCCAAGCCCACCCACCCAGAGACCTAGAGGCCAGCCAGTCTTGTCTTTCTTCTAAGAGCTTGCTTCTAGGAGCCTCCCGCCCCCAGTACCTCAGTATTTATTCCTGATCCCACTGCCCTGCTGGTGCAAACACAGCTTCCCAGGATGCACCCTACCCATGTGCCATTTACAGACTTCATCCTACCCTTCAATCACCTCTTCAAACACCCTCAAACCAGAAACCAACACCCCAACCCAGTGCCTCCCACATCTAACTGCATCCTTTAAAACAAGGCTGGTCATTCAGCAGCCTGCCATCCCCACTCCCCATCATTACCCTCCAACTTCAAAACACTGCTTTAAATACCAGTCTGCCCAAATCGTAATTAACTTGGATCAAATGATTGTGTCGCAACTTTACAGCACAGAACTTGAAAAAAAAAATGGGGGATGTGCTAAAACCAAGTCCTCACTCCTAGCCGTGGGAATCACTAATTCCAGACTGAGGAATCTTTGGCTATTGGTGGGGGGAAGAGGAGGGCGGATGTCAACATAACAGCGGAAGGGGGGGCTGCGTCATCTGAAGCACTTTCTGCTCCAGTTTTCCTGCCCCACTCTCAGCCTCAACTCAGAGAGGGCTCTGTACGGAATAAGTCCCCCACCCCCGACTCCCACGCCCATCCCCCTCTCCCTCTCGCCCCGGGAGCTGAGGCCAGGGCTGCTTGGGTTCCGGTACCAGAGAAGCTGACTTCAGCGTGTCCACCGCCTCTCCGGGAAGATGCAGCCGGTCAGCGACTCTTGGTCCATAAGACTGGACAAGCGGGAAACGTACATGTCCACAGTGAGAGAGGCAGGTTAGAGACTTTGAGGAGCCCACCACAAGGCAGATCGCTGGGTCCAGAGCAGGCACTGAACCAAAGCGAACGCACCTTGTGTCCCCGGACAAGGAGAACGTCAGTGACCCACTTAAAAGGAAACTCGGCAGAATCACTTCCGTACCTTTCCAACCCACACATCAACACCCAGGAAAATAATCGTTCCAGACTTGCGGGCCCAGCGATCTCGAAGGCTGTACGTGCACGATTTAGCCCTCGAACCCCCTTCGATAGCCAAGCCCTTCAACCGGGTCTCTCCCGGTGGGCAGAGCGGGACTCACGCTTCGCGTGCTCCGCAGGTCCCTCGCTTCCTCCCTCCCATCTGCGGATTCCCGGCGGTGCAGCGTGTAACGCCTGGGTCGGCGGGGCCCGGGACTAGGAAGTTACCGACGAACCCCAACCAACGCACACCTAGCTCAAGCAGCGACAGTTCTTTTTGGCGCCGACGCCTGGCGCGCAGGGACCAGGGGTCCCCTGGAGGCAGATCGTCCCGGAGGCGCAGACCCAGACTCAGACACCCATTCCAGGGAAAACTGGAAAAGAAGCGGACCCTTCTGGGTAGAAGTAGGAAGCTTCCGGCTTACTTTAAGTCTCCTGGCCTGCGCCCCAGCGAGGTGTCTATGAGACATCGCCCACTTTGGTGGGACAGATGAATCTGCCTTTCAACTTGGGCGCCCTTGCTGCTTTTCCTGCGTACACCGACGCGAAGATGGGCCACCTCAACTTCCCGGCAGAGAGGCGCAGGATCCCACCCCTAAGCCCGACCGATCCCTACCTGCTTGGCTCAGCCTCGGGTCCCAGCAGAGCAGCAGCGCCAGCAGCAGCGCGCCTCGCGCCCCGCTCCGGGCCCACATGCTCCCACGGCCCGGCTCGGGAGCCTCTCCCTCGGGGCTCTCTCCCTGGCCCCAGCCT